AACAGCCTCATGTATTGCTATGTCAATGTACACATCAAGAAATTCACTAACGAAATAATGCTAAATTATTTCTATTTATAGTCATTTCAGCTTATGCAAATCTAAAAAATGATATATTTGTTTTCAGGACTGATACTTGGGTTTTGCTCTCTTTTAACTTTTTGCCTAAAGATTTTCATAACAACAAAGAAAAAGAATTTTAAGTAGTTACAGAAAAAATATAATATTAAATACGTGTTTATTTACCTGATTTTTACCCTTTGAAATCTACAACAACTATACAAAACTGAGCATATCAATTTATAAATGATCAAGACCTTTTTACGTTGTAATTAAAATAAGAAAAAAACCAATAGCAATTAAATGTAACATATGCACAACTTGGCATGGACGTATATCAAAACTTCAAATTAAACAAAAAAAGACGACTAAAATAAAGAAGAATAGACATTAAAAGAGGACAATTTTGTTGTCATCTACATAACATTAAAAACAGCCTCAAGTATTGCTATGTTAATGCACACATAAAGAAATTCACTGAGCAACTAATGCTAAACTATTTCAATTTATAATCATTTCAACTCATGCAAAAAAATAAAAATAATTGTTTGATTAGTTAGTAAAAAAATAAAAATAATTGACTAATCAGATAATAAAATCATGAGGTAAAATTTCATACGAACTCATTTCCTCTGTCGCTCTAGTTCTCTTCTTCGTACACACTCTCCCTCTTTTGTCTCTCACAGACCATAAAGCACGCCGTAGGCTATACCGAGAACCTGCCAACGTAAGTAAGACAGCCACTATTCGCAGGTTTGCTACAACAAGTAATTATGAAAAATTATTAAAATAAAAATTAAATTTTCATCACTTACAGCACAATTTGGAAGAATGGTCAGGACCTCCTTCCAGCGATGCGAGAAATAAGATAAACATACCAAAACCCAGGAAATAGAATGTGAAAGACAAGAAGAAAGAGATACCTCATAAAACACAGCAGCTCATAGTACCAAATGACTGTATAATAGACCAGCTCCAATATCCTGATTACCAATTCAGTAAATGCAATCTTATTATAAACATTAAAGAAACAAAAAAATACCGCCGACCAAGCACTCCTGCAACCAAAGAAGATGAGTTCCTGCCATCAAATCGAACCACATATATTCTTTTCCACTAAAGTGATCATAGAGTAGATCTCCTTGTAGCTCCAAATGAAACCTTTTTAAAACTTAATGTGATTGATGATGCAGAAATAGATAGCGTTGTAACTCTCTCTAACTCCATCAAAAAAATTTTAAAAATAAATTAGGCTTAAAAAAAGCAAAACTAAACTGAAAAATATGATAAAAGAAGAAAGACAAACCTCTTATTCCACGGATACCTCATAATCCACGTCTAAAAGAGTGCTACCAACAAAAGAAAATAAAATACAAGTGACACGCCTATACTATCTTAAACTTTTTATCTAAAGAGTTACATACTAACAAAATATAAAAATTTTAACTACCCAAAAAGATAAAAACACATGCTTATTTACCTTAAAAGTGCTCCCTAAGATTGATAATAACGTTCACTAGTCCTACATTAAAGTAAACATAAAGAATATTACTGAGTAAATAATTCTAAATAGAAAAAAATTATATATATATTAGAAAATAAAATTTATATCGTAAGTAAAGCAAAATAAACCTTTTGTTCCACGAATATCTTATAAACCAACATGTTTCTAGTAGTGTTACCCACAAAAGATAACAAAAAAAAGATAATATATGATTGGACTCTCTTTAACTTTTTGCCTAAAGATCTTTACAGTAACAAAGAAAGAAAATTTTAACTAGTTATAGAAAAAATATAATATTGAATACGTGTTTATTTACCTGATTTTGAGCGTTTGAAATCTACAACAATTACACAAATGTGAGTATATCAATTTATAAATGATCAAGACTCTTTTAAAATCAGAAGAAAACCAATAGCAACTAAATGTAACAAATGCAGGCATAGACAGATATCAAAACTTTAAATTAAAAAAAACGACTAAAATAAAAAAGAAAAGACATTAAAAGAGGACAATTTTGTTGTCTTCTGCATAACATTAAAAACAGCCTCAAGTATTACTATGTTAATGTACACATAAAGAAATTCACTGACAAAATAATGCTAAATTGTTTCAATTTATAATCATTTCTACTCACGCAAATATTAAAACGAGATATTCGTTTTCAGGGCTAATACTTGGGTTTTACCATTTTTCCTTGTCAGTTTGTAAGGGAAGTTGTAATTTGTTTGCGGTAATTTATCGTTATTGTGTTTGAGATGTTTGTTTGCAGGAAAAATTGAAGAGTCAAATGTAGTTTTTGTTTTGGTTTACTTGACTTTGTAATTGTATTTGATTTTGTTTGTAAGGGTAGATGTAATTTGTTTGTTATAGTTTCTCGTTATTGTGTTTGAGATTTTTGTTATCTGGAAAAGTTGAAGAGTTAAATGTAATTTTTGTTTTGGTTTACTTGAATTTGTGATTCTATTTGAGTTTGTTTGTAATTGTATTAGAATTTCAACGCCTACTTGTTGTTAAAATATGTCGTTTTAGTTTGTTGTAATTACACTCGAGCTAGTTGTTTGTTTCATTTGTTTAGAATTGAAAAAAAATCAATCGGATTTTTCTTTCAGTGTACTTAGATTACTAACTGTATTCAAGTTTTTTTGTATTTTTGTTCCAATTTCAGTTTCTAATTATAATTTGTTTGCTTTGCATTGTTCATATCGATCTATCGCATGTAGCTTTTTAGTGTTCAAATCCATCCTTTAACTAAGTTATAGTAGCATAATTTAAAAATTATTGTTTGATTAGATAGTAAAAAATTAAAAATAATTGACTAATCAGATAATAAAATCATGAGGTAAAATTTCATACGAACTCGCTTCCTCTGTCGCTCTGGTTTTCTTCTACGTACACACTCTCCCTCTTTTGTCGCTCACAGACCGTAAAGCACGCCGCAGGCTATACCGAGAACCTGCCAGCGTAAGTAAGACAGCCACTATTCGCAGGTTTGCTACAACAAGTAATTATGCAAAATCATTAAAACAAAAATTGAATTTTCATCACTTACAGCACAATTTTGAAGAATTGTCAGGACTTCCTTCCTTTTGTCAATGACGCGAGAAACAAGACAAAAATACCAAAACTCAGAAACTATAATGTGAAAGATAAGAAGAAGGAGATACCTCATAAAACACAACAGCTCATAGTACCAAACAACTGTGTAACAGACCAGCTCCAATATCCTGATTACCAATTCAGTAAATGCAACCTTATTAGAAATATTAAAAAAATAAAAAATAACCGCTGACCAAGTACTCCTGCAACCGAAGAAGACGAGTTCCCGCCATCACCAGTATCTGCCATCAAATCGAACCACATATCTTCTTTTCCACTAAAGTGATCGTAGAGTAGATCTCCTTGTAGCTCCAAATAAAACTTTTTTAAAACAGAATGTGATAGATGATGCTGAAATAGATAGCGTTGTAACTCTCTCCAACTCCATCAAAAAAATTTAAAAAATAAATTAGGCTTTAAAAAATTAAAACTAAACTTAAAAATATGATAAAAGAAGGAAGACAAACCTCTTATTCCACGGATACCTCATAATCCACGTCTAAAAGAGTGCTACCAACAAAAAAGAATAAAACACAAGTGACACGTCTGTACCATCTTAAACTTTTTGCCTAAAGAGTTACATACTAACAAAATATAAAAATTTTAACTACCTAAAAAGATAAAAACACATACTTATTTACCTTAAAAGTGCTCCTTAAGATTGATAATAACATTCGCTAGTCCTACATTAAAGTAAACATAGAGAATATTGTTAAGTAAATAATTCTAAATATAATATATATATATATATATTAGAAAATAAAATTTGTATCGTAAGCAAAGTAAAATAAACCTTTTGTTTCACGAATATCTTATAACCCAACATGTTTTCAGCAGTGTTACCCACAAAAAAGAACAAAATATATATATATATGATTGGACTCTATTTAACTTTTTGCCTAAAGATCTTCATAGTAACAAAGAAAGAAAATTTTAACTAGTTATAGAAAAAACATAATATTGAATACGTGTTTATTTACCTGATTTTTGCCGTTTGAAACCTACAACAATTACACAAAAGTGAGCATATCAATTTATAAATGATCAAGACTCTTTTAAAAACAGGCATGCACGGATATCAAAACTTCAAATAAAAAAAAACGACTAAAATCAAGAACAACAGACATTGAAAGAGGACAATTTTGTTGTCTTCTGCATAACATTAAAAACAATCTCAGGTATTACTATGTTAATGTACACATAAAGAAATTCACTGACAAAATAATGCTAAATTTTTTTATTTTATAATCATTTCAACTCATGCAAATATTAAAACGAGAATTTGTTTTTAGGGTTGATACTTGGGTTTTATTCTTTTTCTTTGTCAGTTTGTAATTTGTTTGCAGTAATTTATCGTTATTGTGTTTGAGATGCTTTTTTACAGGAAAAGTTGAAGAGCCAAATGTAATTTTTATTTTGGTTTACTTGACTTTGTAATTGTATCTGAGTTTATTTGTAAGGGTAGATGTAATTTGTTTCTTGTAGTTTCTCGTTATTGTGTTTGAGATGTTTGTTTGTTGGAAAAATTGAAGAGCTAAATGTAATTTTTATTTTGGTTTACTTGAGTTTGTGATTGTATTTGAATTTATTTGTAATTGTATTAGAATTTCAGCGGCTACTTGTTTTCGTTTATTGTACAGTTTCACTCGACTTAGTTGTTTGTCTCATTTTTATGGAATTGCAAAAAAATTAATTGAATTTTTCTTTCAGTATACTTGAATTTGTTAATGTATTTGAATTTGTTTGTATTTTTATTTCAATTTCAGTTTCTAATTACAATTTGTTTGTTTTGCATTGTTCATATCGATCTAGCGTCATGTAGGTTTTTAATGTTCAAATTCATCCTTCAACTAAGTTATGGTAGCATAATTTAAAAATTATTGTTTGATTAGTTAGTAAAAAAATAAAAATAATTGACTAATCAGATAATAGAATCATGAGGTAAACTTTCATACGAACTCTCTTCCTCTGCCGTTCTGGTTCTCTTCTTCATACACACTCTCCCTCTTTTGTTGCTCACATACCGTAAAGCCCGCCGTAGGCTATACTGAGAGCTTGCCAGCGTAAGTAAGAGAGTCAGTATTCGCAGGTTTGCTACAATCAGTAAATATGCAAAATTATTAAAATGAAATTTGAATTTTCACAACTTACAGCACAATTTTAAAGAATGGTCATGACCTCCGTCATCTTGCCAGCGACGCGAGAAACAAGACAAACATACCAAAATCTAAGAAATATAATGGAAAAAACAAGAAGAAAGAGATACCTCATAAAACACAGCAGCTCATAGTACTAAACCACTGTATGGTTTAGCTCCAAAATCCTAATTACCAATTAAGTAAATGCAACCTTATTAGAAACATTGAAGAAACAAAAGAAACTGCTGACCAAGTACTCCTGCAACCGAAGAAGACGAGTTCCCGCCAGTACCATTATCTGCCATCAAATCGAACCACAAATCTTTTTAACTAAAATGATCATGGAGAAGATCTCCTTATGAAGCTCCATCTAAAAACTTTTTAAAACTTAATGTGATAAATGATGCAGAAATAAATAACGTTGTAACTCTCTCCAACTCCATTAAAAAATATTAAAGAAAAAATTAGGATGAAAAAAAACAAAACAAAACTGAAAAACAGGATAAAAGAAGAAAGACAAACCTCTTATTCCGCTGGTTCCTCATAATCTATATCTAAAAGAGCGCTACGAACAAAAGAAAACAAAACACAAGTGACACGCCTGGACCATCTTAAACGTTTTGACAAAGAGTTACGCACTAACAAAATATAAAAATATTAGCTACCCAAAAAGATAAAAACACATGATTATTTACGTTAAAAGTATTCCTAAGATTGATAATAACCTTCGGTAGTCCTATATTAAAGTAACCAAAAAGAATATAGTTAAGTAAATAATTCTAAATACTAAAAAATATATGTAATAAAAAATAAAATTCATGTCATAAGCATTAAAAAATAAACCTTTTATTTCACAAATATATCATAACCCGACATTTTTCCAGCAATGTTACCCAGAAAAGAGAACAAAACAGAGATAATATATGATTAGATTCCTTTCAACTTTTTACCTCAAGATCTTCATAATAACAAAGAAATAAAATTTTAACTAGTTAAAGAAAAAACATACTATTAAATATATATTTATTTACCTGATTTTTACCATTTGAAATCTACAACAACTACACAAAAGTAAGCATATCAATTTATAAATGATCAAGACTCTTTTATGTTGTAATTCAAATCAGAAGAGAATCAATAGCAATTAAATATAATATATGCACAACTTGACATGGACATTAAAAACGACCATTAAAAGAGGACAATTTTGTTGTCCTCTGCATGACATTAAAAACAGCCTCAAGTATTGCTACATTAATGTACACACAAAGAAATTCATTGACGAAAAATACTAGATTGTTTTAATTTATAATCATTTCAACTCATGAAAATGTTAAAAACGAAATATTCAATTTTTGGGTTGATACTTGAAGTTTACTCTTTTTCCTTGTCAGTTTGTAAGGATAGTTGTTATTTATTTGTTGTAGTTTGTCGTTATTGTGTTTGAAATGCTTGTTTGCTAAAAAAGTTGAAGAGCTAAATGAAATTTTTGTTTTGGTTTAAAAGCTATTAGGTTTCTAAGATCTTCAAAATAAGAAAATGAACGATAACTCTAAATTATAAGTTTGTAAAAATTAAACTCTTAAAATAAAATAATCCTCCAATCTAAATCTAAAGTAAAGCTAACATTTGATAAATCTTTAAGTTAGAATTTTTCAGTCGCAGAATTTTATGTATTTTAAAAACTATTAATTTTTTAATGAAGTAAGGAAACTTAGCTCTCCATCTACATTTCGCATTTTTTTTATTAAATTATGTAGTTGAAAAATTCATTGATATAATCTTGCAGTAAATTTATTTTGGGTGCCAAAAAAAATTGTTTTTTCAGTGCAAGTGCAGCATTTTTGCAATACGTTCACAAGCCACATTACATAAACTATTAGGATCCAATACACACACTTAATGCAGCAAATAAGTATATTTATTTCGATGTGTATTAACCTACTGCCTAACTCCGATGCTCCAAACTCTTCTTCATGTTCTACTAGTGATGTTATCTTATAAACTATCTTTACTTGATACTTTTATTTACCAAACTTTTCTTTCAATTACAAATTACTTTTAACTGTTATTGTATTCAAACTATGTATTATCTTTTAGAATTAGATTCAAAAGAAAGCCACCAACTGGAATTGAGCAAGTTCTCAGCTTTCTGTCTGCGGACATACCTTTCATGCTATTTCAGTGCCAAAGTTCACTAGCCCATGTCGACAGGTGTGGAGGAAATATATTAGGAAGATCACTGAATAGTGAAGGGAACATCTCATCATACTGAAAAAACAAATATTGCAACAATTGAAAGCATAAATGAAAAATATGCGACACTTTAGAAAATATTTCTAATTATGAAAATATTTAAAGGAAAGTTCACAAGATAAAATAGTTTTTTAAGAAGTTTTAGATTGTGAAAGAAATGATAAGTTAGAAAATTAAAAAAAGACTAGATTACCATCTATGCAATAGAGCTCCAAATCCAATCGTTATTCTTGCTTTTATTTTTAATATATTTATTATTGCTGTAACATTTTTACGCTGTTAGTTTTCAAGAAAACCCGAATACTCTGAATACTTAGGAAGGGTAATCAATCAAGCAATTCTTCTTTTCGAAAGTTCCCTCAATCGGAAAAGGGTAATATGTTCATATTTGATTCATACATTAGCATATAACTATGGAATATCCACAGCATTAATATTCTATTCCCAACCTACCTGGGTCTCAAAGGAACGTGTCAAATGTACTTAGAAACAGAGACCAAAATATCAACTTTGCAAACTCCATAAAAAACAGAACCTACTAAATCAAATTCAAGAAGATAGTTTGTTTGTCTGTAAAATTATTAAAGCTAAATTGGAATATTTAAATGAAAAAACAAGAAACTGCTGCTATCTTTTGAGTAAATTTCAAGTCTATAAATCATGGTAAAAAGGAATAAGAAAAACAACATCTCCCCAGTTAAGAAACCTGCTGCAATGTTTATAACAAGAAAGAACTCGAATTAATTTAGAAATATGTTATGTGTGAAATTTAGGAAGAGGGCTTTTAGGGTTTGGAATGTAGCAAACAAAGAGAGAAGTGCAGAGAGAGTGAGAAACAGACAAAGAGAGAATAAAAGAGAGAAGAGAACACAGAGAGAGACAGAGAACCAATTCATTATTCCTCATTACAGATATAGTTGAAAATAACTTATGCTAAGAAAAAATTAGTTAGTTAGTTAAGAACAGATGCTACACATAACAAAACAAATTTATGAAAACTAAAAACATTAAATAAGAAGAATAAATAAATAAGAAGACAAACTGTAAAAAGAAATTTAAAAAAAAAAAGATTTATGTAAAACCCAGATTAAGAGAGACTAAATCACTTATGCCAACTTCATGAAAGGAGAACCAAATAAAAATAAACTCCATGAATGATCACCTACCAATATTAAGAGATAAGTAAAAATACCTCCGGCTACCGTTGGGTCTTTGAAGAGAAAGACATATCTCTTCTTTCGATCTTCTTCTTCCCTCTTTCTTTGCTCTTCTTTTCCTTCTCTATTTGGCTCTTTACTCCCAGTAAACTGAAAAAGAAATAGAATGTTAGAAAGAGGACAGTTCAATTTGTTTTCTATCATCTTCTTCCTTACCTCTTTCAGATATTCTTTTCTTTCCCTCTCCACATTGAAGAGAATGGAGAGTTTCAGATCCATGTCTGCTCGTTCCTGTCTTTTTCCCCTTTTTCTCTCTCTGCTATGCTCGGACTTCTCACCTTCTCTCTGGGCAAGGCTTGTGAACAAGAGAGATCGAAATTTAACAGAATGACTAAGTAGTGTTGGGTCTTGAAGAGAAACCCATCGATCTTCTTTTCGATCTCCCTTGAAGAGAACGGAGAGTTTCAGATCCATGTCTGCTCGTTTCTGTCTTTTTCCCCTTTTTCTCTCTCTATTATGTTTGTATTTCTCACCTTCTCTCTGGGCAAGGCTTGTGAACAAGATAGATTGAAATTTAACAGAATGACTAGGCAGTGTTGGGTCTTTAAGAGAAACCTATCTATCTTCCTTTCGATCTTCTTTTTTCCTTCTTTCTTTGTTCTTCTTTACTTTCTCTATTTGATTCTTTGCTCTCAAGAAACTGAAAAAGAAATAGAATGCTAGAAAGATGACCATTCTAATTTGTTTTCTATCATCTTCTTCCTTACCTCTTTCTGATATTCTTTTCTTTCCCTCTCCACATTGAAGAGAATGGAGGGGTTTCAGATCCATGTCTGGTCGTTTCTGTCTTTTTCCCCTTTTTCTCTCTCTCTTTTATGCTTGTATCTCTCTCCTTCTCTCTGGGCAAGGCGAGATCTGGAAACAAAGAACGTCGAAAACTTTTTGGAAGTAAAAGAGAGGCAGAAGGTGGTCTGAAGAGGAGAATTGGAAAACTTTTGTGGGGTTTTAATCTAATCGCACGGTCAGTTTGCTTTTAAAGGGAAAATAAAGAAATTCAGACTGCGCACGCCGACAAGCATAACACAACGGTCAATTTGTTTTTTAAAAAACTTTTTAAAGAAAAGAAAAAGAAAGAAAAAAGCAACTATTGCAGATCCATGTCTGCTCGTTTCTGTCTTTTTCCCCTTTTTCTCTCTCTGCTATGCTCGTACTTCTCACCTTCTCTCTGGGCAAGGCTTGTGAACAAGAGAGATTGAAATTTAACAGAATGACTAAGTAGTGTTGGGTCTTTAAGAGAAACCCATATATCTTCTTTTCGATCTTCTTTTTTCCTTCTTTCTTTGCTCTTCTTTTCTTTCTCTATTTGATTCTTTGCTCTCAAGAAACTGAAAAATAAATAGAATGGTAAAACGATGACCATTCTAATTTGTTTTCTATCATCTTCTTCCTCACCTCTTTCTGATATTCTTTTCTTTCCCTCTCCACATTGAAGAGAATGGAGAGTTCCAGATCCATGTCTGCTCGTTTCTGTCTTTTTCCCCTTATTCTCTCTCTGCTATGCTCGTACTTCTCAACTTCTCTCTGGGCAAGGCTTGTGAGAACAAGAGAGATTGAAATTTAACAGAATGACTAGGCAGTGTTGGGTCTTTAAGAGAAACCTATCTATCTTCTTTTCGATCTTCTTTTTTTTTCCTTCTTTCTTTGTTCTTCTTTTCTTTCTCTATTTGATTCTTTGCTCTCAAGAAACTGAAAAAGAAATAGAATGCTAGAAAGATTACCATTCTAATTTGTTTTCTACCATCTTCTTCCTTACCTCTTTCTGATATTCTTTTCTTTCCCTCTCCACATTGAAGAGAATGGAGGGGTTTCAGACCTCGTTTCTGTCTTTTTCCCCTTTTTCTCTCTCTCTTTTGTGCTTGTATCTCTCTCCTTCTCTCTGGGCAAGGCCAGATCTGAAAACAAAGAACGTTGAAAACTTTTTGAAAGTAAAAGAAAGACGAAAGAAAGGAAGAAGGTGGTCTGAAGAGGAGAATTGGAAAACTTTTGTGGGGTTTTAATCTAATCGCACGGTCAGTTTGCTTTTAAAGGGGAGATAAAGAAATTCAGACTGCGTTAAAAGGACGCCGACAACGGTCAATTTGTTTTTTAAAAAACTTTTTAAAGAAAAGAAAAAGAAAAAAGCAACTACTGCGTTAAAAAAGTTAAACTACACGGAGCCCAGGCTTAGGGTGTTGTTTTAAATTTTGGTTATATTTTATAAAAAATTAAAATATCTTTATAATAGAAAACTGTAGTTATTAAGAAAGAGATAATAAATTAAAAAAAAATTAAAGTAAAATAGCATAAATAAGAATGTGAAGAATGTGTGATAAACACTTAGTAATTAATTCTAAAAAAATGTGAGTGAATTTTACTGGGAAATAGAAAAAATTAAAAAAATTTGACAGAAAAATGAAAAAGACTCCCTTGTAGATGATTTTTTTTTATTAATTATTACTGAAAGAAAATAAAAATAAATAAATTTAAAGCGGATAAATATAATTTTGTAATAAATTTTAATAATTTATGTTAGAATATAAATAATTAACTATGATATTTTTTTACAATTTTTTAAATAATTAATTTAATCAATTATTTAATACAATCAAAACATATATACTTTTTTAGTTCTCTATATGCATTAAAGCAACAATATCTCAACCACACATTTGGAGAAAAGTAATATATTTCATATATGATAAATATGGACACCAACCACTGCATGCTAATTAAAAATAGGACAAAAAAAAGATAAAAATGCAGAGGAGTCCAGACCACTCAAGTAACAAAACAATGATATCAATGAAATAAAAAAAAATGCAAAACAAACAACCGGACTATTTTAAATTTTTTGTCTAAAGAGTCACATAATAACAAGAGCTAATTGTTTTAACTAGCTAAGCAAAAATAAAATATTGGGTACATGATTATTTACCTCATCTTTGGAGTTTGAAATCAACAATAAGCAAATAAAAGTGAGTAAATCAATTTGTAAATAACAAAGATTCGTTAATATTATAATTCAAAGAAGTAAAAAATCATTAACAAATAAATAGAACATATAGATAATTTTTCATGGGAACTACGCGTACCAAAATTGAAATATAAAAAAAAATCAACTAGAACCATGAGTAACAAGCATTAAAAGAGAACAATAAACATATCTTTTTATAAATAAGTAAGATTTTTCTACATTATAATTTAAATAAGAAGAGAACCAAATAATTAAAAGTAACATATGCATAGTTTGGCATGAAAAAACGGATATTGAAACTTCAAAATTAAAAAAAACGACTAAAATAAAGAACAAACATCAAAAGATGACAATTTTATTATTCTCAGTATAATATTTAAAATCGTCTTTTGAGTACTACTACGTTAATGTACATATAAAAGAAATTCACTAAGCTAATAATACTAATTTTGTCGATTTATAATCATTTCAATTCATACGAATGTAAAAATGATATGTTCATTCTATAAGCTGATATTTAGGATTTATTGTCATTTTATCATTCACTTCTGTTTACTCATTTCTAAGCAATTAGTAGTCAAAATCCTAGATCATCTCAATTCAAAAGACAAACATTCATTGGATTCAAATATCAAATAAATATACTATAAATTTAAATCAGAGTTCTCTAATAGTTATCACTTGCAACTCTTCCAACAGTATTTTTGACATATAGCTAATGTTGTAAATTTACCAAACATTTCTTTTTCTTAAGCACTAATCCCTAAGTTCACTTTTCATAACTGAAAAATAATATTCCAATGGACATCCTTCAAACATTCACTATGGATGATACCACATAATAACCAACAACCACCATCTTTCTAACAACACGCTATGAGCAAAACATTAAACCATACAAAAGAAAGTCATCTACCTCCAAAAACCTACAAAATGATTCAAGTCATCTTAAAACACTAATTACATCGAATATCTTAGAGCAATACTAACCGACCAATGTATTAGAGCTAAAATAAAACAAAGACTTTCTTGCCTATCACTAGTACTTTATAGATTTTTAAAAATTAAACTCTTAAAATAAAATAATCCTCCAATCTAAATATAAGTAAAGTTAACACGTGATAAATCTTTAATTTAAAATTTCTTTGTCACTTACACCGTAATAGTTTTTTAATGAAGTAAGAAAGCTTGGCTCTCCATCTACATTTTGTATTTTTTTATTAAATTAGGTAGTTGAAAAATTCATGGATATAATCTTGCAGTAGATTTAGTTCGGGTGCCAAAAAAATTTATTTTTTCATTGCAAATGCAGCATTGTGCAATACTTTCGGAGGCCACATTACATAAACTATTAGGGTCCAATACACACACTTAATGCAGCAAATGAGTATATTTATTGCGAGGTATATTAAACTGCTGCCTAACTCCGATGTTACAAACTCTTCTTCATGTTCTATTAGTGATGTCAAAACATATATACTTTTTTAGTTCTCTATATGCATTAAAGCAACACTATCTCAACCACACGTTTAGAGAAAAGTAATATATTTCATATATGATAAATATGGACACCAACCACTGCATGCCAATTAAAAATAGGACCAAAAAAAAGATAAAAATGCAGAAGAGTCCAGACAACTCAAGTAACAAAACAATGATATCAATGAAAGAAAAAAAAATGCAAAACAAACAACCGGACTATTTTAAATTTTTTTTCTAAAGAGTCACATAATAACAAGAGCTAATTGTTTTAACTAGCTGAGCAAAAACAAAATATTGGGTACATGATTATTTACCTCATCTTTGGAGTTTGAAATCAACAATAAGCAAATAAAAGTGAGTAAATCAATTTGTAAATAACAAAGATTCGTCAATATTATAATTCAAAGAAGTAAAAAATCATTAACAAATAAATAGAACATATAGATAATTTTTCATGGGAACTACGCGTACCAAAATTGAAATATAAAAAAAAATCAACTAGAACCATGAGTAACAAGCATTAAAAGAGAACAATAAACATATCTTTTTATAAATAAGTAAGATTTTTCTACATTATAATTTAAATAAGAAGAGAACCAAATAATTAAAACATATGCATAGTTTGGCATGAAAAACGGATATTGAAACTTCAAAATTAAAAAAACGACTAAAATAAAGAACAAACATCAAAAGATGACAATTTTATTATTCTCAGTATAATATTTAAAATCGTCTTTTGAGTACTACTACGTTAATGTACATATAAAAGAAATTCACTAAGCTAAAATACTAATTTTGTCGATTTATAATCATTTCAATTCATACGAATGTAAAAATGATATGTTCATTCTATAAGCTGATATTTAGGATTTATTGTCATTTTATCATTCACTTCTGTTTACTCATTTCTAAGCAATTAGTAGTCAAAATCCTAGATCATCTCAATTCATAAGACAAACATTCATTGGATTCAAATATCAAATAAATATACTATAAATTTAAATCAGAGTTCTCTAATAGTTATCACTTGCAACTCTTCCAACAGTATTTTTGACATATAGCTAATGTTGTAACTTTACCAAACATTTCTTTTTCTTAAGCACTAATCCCTAAGTTCACTTTTCATAACTGAAAAATAATATTCCAATGGACATCCTTCAAACATTCACTATGGATGATACCACATAATAACCAACAACCACCATCTTTCTAACAACACGCTATGAGCAAAACATTAAACCATACAAAAGAAAGTCATCTACCTCCAAAAACCTATAAAATGATTCAAGTCATCTTAAAACACTAATTACATCGAATATCTTAGAGCAATACTAACCGACCAATGTATTAGAGCTAAAATAAAACAAAAACTTTCTTGCCTATCACTAGTACTCTATACATAAAAGTCAATCAACATCAACTCCTAGTCTTATATGAAAAAAGCAATCCTAACTATCTAGTTTTGAATGCATCACTAGCTCATCACTAAATACTCGATACCTATAAGCTTTAATACATAAAAGTTAATCAACATTCAATTCTTAATGTTATTTAAAAATAGCAATTCTAACTATCTAATTTTAAATATATCTCTAAGGATGATATCATATATTTGCCAACAACCACAAGTCATTCTGTCTACTAGCCATGATCCAAAGGGAAAACCAGCAGACCATATAAAGAAAAGTAAATTATCTTGAGAAAATTATTAGCTTATTCAAGTTACCCTAAAAACACCAATTACGTTGTATTTCTTAAAAATAATATTGATCTATCACTATCTATGAGCTAAATTAAAAGTTATAACGAGTGCATATTATTTTGCAAATGGTAAACAAGTAACTTTCAAGTAACTAAAGAAATCATTCAATCGCATTTTAGGATTGAAGATTAAGTTTAAGAATGATTAAAGAGAGAGAGAGAGAGAGAGAGAGAGAGAGAGAGAAGAGATACTGAGTGTTTTAGAAAGCCACCAACCAGAATTGAGCAAGTTCTCAGCTTCCCGTTTGTGGACAAGTGTGGAGGAAATATATCAGGATGATCACTAAATAGTGAAGGGAACATTTCATCATACTGAAGATGCAAATGTTGCAACAATTGAAAGAATAAATGAGAAGTATGCAACACAGATAATAAAATAATGAGGTAAAATTTCATACGCTCTCTCTTCCTCTGCGACTCTGGTTCTCTTCTTCGTACACACTCTCCTCTTTTATCGCTCACAGACCGTAAAACATGCAGCAGACTATACTGAGAACTTGCCAGTGTAAATAAGAGAGCCAGTATTCTCATGTTTGCTACAACCAATCAACATGCAAAATCATTAAAATAAAAATTTAATTTTCATCACTTACAGCGTAATTTTTCATTACTTACAGCGCAATTTTGAAGAATGGTCAGGACCTCCGTCCTCTTGCCAACGAGCGAGAAAAAAGACAAACATATCAAAACCCAAAAAATATAATGTGAAAGACAAGAAGAAAGAAATAGCACATAAAACACAGTAGCTCTTCGTACCAATTCAGTAAATGCAACCTTGTTAAAAACATTGAAGAATCAAAAGAAACTACTGACCACTCCTCCAACCGAAGAAAACAAGTTCCCGCCATCACCAATATCTGCCAT